GACAGGAATCTTATTTTTTTTTTTTAATCTTACAATTTTTCTTTTACATTTTCTATTGCATCGAGTTTTTCTTTTCAGAAGCATGTTCTTTATTAATTTGGGATTCTTTATTGGTAGAATATTTTTAATTTATCAAATGGAGAAGTTTTTATTTGAGTTTTTTCTTATCTTCTACAAATTTTTACTGGCTATATTTGGTTTGATATTCCCATTTTTGATTTTCTTTGAGATGTTTTTTTGTTACTATATTATTTTAGCGATTTTTTTTTTCAAATTTATTTTGGCTTTATTTATTTTTGGTGTGCAGTGTTGGTTAATTTATTATTACTTTTTGGGATGTTCTTTGGTTTAATTATTGGTATTTCTTATTTTTGAGTCCTTTACTTTGGAATCTAATTTAAATATTTTTTTTTTTGTTTTGGTTTTTTTTGTTGGTTATTAATTTTATGGTTTTTGTTTCTTTTTTATGGGTTTGGGGAATTATTGGCTTTTTGGTTATCTTATTTTTATCTTTCTTAGGTATTCCTTTCAGCGTATCTCATACATTTGTTTTAGTTCGTTGTTGGCATGTATCTATTTTCACCATTGATTTTGCCTTTTCTGATGTTATCTTTTCATTTGGAATTTTTTTGTATTTTCATGAAATTTAATTTTGTTTTTCGCCCAAACGCGATCTGATAACTGACCAAGTAGTCGTTTTCATTTGTTTCCTTATCCATGGTTTTTTTTTTCCTTGGTGTCTATTGTTTCTTGATTTTGGTTTTTTTGCGTTCTCTTTTTTTTTTCTTTTTTTTGGGCTTGTACTTTCTCTCTTTTCTACCGTTCGATTTCTCTTTCCTTTTTATGCTTATGGTTGTCTATGTTTTCTTCAGTCGTTTAATTTTTATTAGTCATATATTTGGCGTTTGGTCTTATTTTTTGCTAATTTTTCCGGATCTGCATAAACTGAACCCAAGTAATAACCAGGTCTTGAGTTGGGGGTGGTTTTTATACTTTATATTATATATAATTTGGTTTACAACAGCACGTTTTTTTTTTATGATTTTCGGATATATCTTTACTTCATAATTATCAGCTTTTTTTTTTTTTTAATTTTATTTTTGTCTTAGGGAGGAAAATGAGTATGTTTTGGTTTTTATTCTTGGTAAATATTTGGTATATCATGATTTTTTGCTTCGAGATTTTTTGGTTTTTGTGTATTTACCGTTTTTATTTTAAGGTTCTTATTGTTCGCGCTTTCTTTCTTTAGGGAAATTTTTTCGTTTTCCTCTTCTTTCGTTATTGCGGCTTTTTTGAGAGAAAATTGCGTCGAGGTTGTGGGGAAAGGAAAAGAGAATTACTAATCTTAGTGTGTTCTAAATGGCGGGAATTTTAAAATTCGCATTTGGGAGGAATTTTATTCGGTTTTTTTCATTGCAATTTTTTTTTAGGCGAATTTTTGTTGGTGCCGTGTAATGAATTTATTTTTGCGTTACGGCTTAATCGGCTTTATTATTTTTATTTGTTTTCCTTGTGGGTGGCTTTTTGCACTGGGCTTTTTTTTGGTTTCATTTGTTTTTTTTTCTTGTGGGAATCTTTATTTTTTTCTTTTATTTAATTCTTCTCGGATAAAGTACTTATTTTCTTTTATTTTTTTTAAATTTTTTTTATATAGCTATTTTTACTTTATCTGTTTCCTTTATCTTGTTTTGATTCTTTTTTCGGGCTTACCGCGTTTATACGCGTAACCAAGACCTTTCTTCTGTGGTTTTTTTTTGGCGTGTTTTATTCTTCTTATATTTAATTTTTATGTTTTTATTTTAGATTTTTGTTTTATTAAAGTTCTATTGGTCGTATGCAGAGATGTTTCTATTTTTAATTCATTTTGGATTTGTTTTTTTGGTATTTTATTTTTTATTACTTGGTTTTTCCTATATTTTGTAGCGATCAGATAAATTTTATTTATATTTATGATTTTAATTGTTAACATTTTTTAGTTTTTATTTTTTATTTAGTTTCTGGCAATTTTTTTTAGTCTCTATAAATTAAGAGTTTTCTTTTTATTTAGGAGCTCTGCGGGAGAAAATTTTTTGATTTCGGAAGAATTTTTATCTCCTCCCTCGTTCTTTATTAGATTTATATTTTGTTTTTGTTTCTTTTTTTACTTTTTTTTTTATTTATTTTTTTCTTTTTTCTTTTTTTTTTTTTTGTTTTTTTCCTTTTATTTTTTTTTTTCTTTTTTTATTTTTTTTTTTTTTTATTTTTTTTCTTTGTTTTTTTTCTTTTTTTATTTTTTTTGTTTTTTTCTTTGCTTTCTTTTTTTTTTTTTTTTTTTGTTCTGTTTTTTTGTTTTTTTTTTTTTCTTTTTTTTTTTTTCTTTTTTTTTCTTTTTTTTTGGTTTTTTTTTTCATACCGAATTTTTTCTTTTTTCTTTTTCTCTTTTTTTTTTTTTTTTCTCTTTTTTGTTTTTTGTGAATTTTTTTTTTTTTTTTTTTTTGTTTCTTTGTTTTTTTTTCTTTATTTTTTGTTTATTTTTTTTTTATTATTTTTTTTTTTTTTTTTTTGGTTTTTTTTTTTCTTTTTTTGAATTTATTTTTTTTTTTTTTATTTTTTTTTCTTTTTGTTTTTTGTTTTTTTTTTTCTTTTTTTTTTTTGTTTTTTTGTCTTTTTTTTTTTTTTTTTTTTTTTTTTTTTTTTTTTTTTGTTTTTTTTTTTTTGTTTTATTTTTTTTCTTTTTTTTCTTTTTTTTTTTTTTTTTCCCACTCTTTTTTTTTCATTGATTCACTTTTTTCCGTTTTTGTGGTATGCTTGACTTTTTTTATTTTTGGTTGCAATTTTCTCATTTTTCCTTCGTTCGGATCTGATAACTGACCAAGTAATCGTTTTTTCACGAATTGTGTGTTAAAAGGCTCAAAACTAAAGAAAGCAGAACTACTACTGTTTCCAGAGGAGTAATATTTTCGTTCTGTACAAACAATTATGCGGTCTTCAGGCTGTGAAATTTCATTAGCTGTTTTTTAGATTCTTCAGTTACGCTCGACTTCGCACTGGATAGCAGAATTCTTCTCGACGCTAACGATTGCTGCAGGGAGTACAAAGGCATGTGGAAGTTTTAGCGTTCTATATAGTAGCAATCATTACGCTGCAATATGATTTGCTAGGTCAATTAGACATAGGCATTGGCTTTTCCCCCTATTTATTCGTGAGCTCTCACAAATGAATCTGGATGCGTTCAGAAAAGCCTCAGTCAACCGATCATTTACGCTTTCGACCTCTTCGTATATGGCATATGATACTGATTACATTGAGTGTATGTATGATTTTATATGAGCATATTGGATCCATTGATAAGCTTACACAAACATCGCAATTCTTCATTGTGGCTGACGCTTCGGCACCACCGTCTTCTGCGGAGCGGCAATAATTTGAATTGAGAAACACGGTGAGAAGTCTTTTTGCGATGTGAATCTTCGAGACTATCCCTTCGAGTTGGATCGTGTGGAGTGGCGAGTTGTAGATAGATTGTGCAGAAAGTTCGCGCCGTTTCGGTTTTTTATCATAATTTTAGCAATAAAATCGCTTGATTATGGTATCGTTCGAATGCGCATTTTTTTGCGAACATTTTGGTATGCGACTTGCTTTTACATGCTTTGGGATGGAGCTGTCTTGTAAACAAATTCACTTGCTACTCATGCGCGAGCAACACGTAAAAGAAAATGCTAGTGAAGCGGCGTTCAAGAATAATTGAGCCTGAGACGATGATATTGTTGTAGAAATGACGGCTAGGAAGTGGTCCATGTATAGGCAAGTTGTGTATTAAGATGTTCGCAAGAAAACGCGCAGGTTGGACGATACCCAAGTCATGGAATTTTTTTTGCAAAAATCATATTGGAAGAGCCAAAACGGCACGAACTTTTTTCACAACTCAATATATAAGCAGTCCTACTGTCTTGCTGATGTTTATCAAACGAAGTGTAATCATTCATTAAGCTGCAGATCTCTCACAAAATCTCTTGCATAGGAAAAGCGACGTTGTAGTATTCTCGAACAGCATAACATCTTGTTCCTCCTATTCCATGTTTTGGGCGGCGAACTGATCAAACAGGTGTGAGGTTTTGCTCTCAGATGCGTTTCTATAACCGCCGACCTGTGTGTTTGTGTTTAGTTTTCCGCTAAATTGAAAGGCTGATGGCATTAGCCTGTCCGGAGACCGATTGTAGATTATCGGTGTCTGAGTACACCACAAACAAGAGGCAAGGACGCAACTGTAAAGTTTATCAGTGAGCTTTTCGATCATTCGATGTGAATGTTTGATGGATGGCTTTACATAGACTAAGATTCAGGCAATAAAAAAAATCTTTTGAGATGATATTCTATCGCGAACGAAAAGGTGGAGGTAGTAACAGTCTGTCACATTTCCCTTCTCCGCTTCATATTTTGGAGGTTCTACATCCAACAAATTGGAAAATGTACTCGACTTCGGCTAAAGGCTCCACATTGATCTTAATATACTTCAGATCAAAATGTCTACAGGCATTGCTAATACACATTATTTTTCCAAATTTCACCTTGACATTTGGTAAATACTGGTCAACTTCAGGTTGGATTGCGATCGAGGGTAGTATGCGTACACCATCGGTATGAATGATTCTTTTCCAGTTTTCTATTATGTCTGCGAACCGACGAGGAGTAGAAAGTTCACATGATTTTGCAAAGAAAATGAATAAATAAATATTGAAAGATCGAGTTAAGTTGGATTGTACTTGAAGGAAGACTTCAACATCAAATGTAGATTAGGTCAAAACAAAGTGTTTCTTCTATCTTAGATGTTTAGATAAACTATCGTAAACTACCGCCTCGTCGATAGTGCAACGGTTCAGCAAAGACTCCTCGAAAGAGTGAGTTGTGGGTTCGAATCCCAGCTGGCGTAATTCTCTTTGCATACCACTCTACATTATTGGGTCTATTGTAACGTGGTCAAATAAAATGAATCCTGATATCAAACCAAGTGTTATTGTATCTCAGGACTGTGAATGTTCTGTAATGTTAAGTTGCGTTATGTGATCACCCTCCTGGAAATGATTCTCAGTTTGATAACAAGCAATATAGTAAACAAGTTTTGATTTCATTTTCCGCCGCCTCAAACCCGATTTCAATTGAAAAATAATTAGGCAGAAAATAAGGATCAAAACAATAAGATTTGGGTTACTTTTTTCTAATGAACATCGCTAGTAAATGGAAGATTCTACCTGAATTCAACTGTCACTTTCATGTGTCTTCAATTCGATCACCATCGTTTTATGAAAGCCTTGCAAATTTTTGAGTTCAGCTTCTCGTGATCTGATTGTTTTTTTGTTTTGATCCAAAAAAACCATTGTTTACAATCCTGATCACGTTTCGTAGGAATGTGTTCCAGATGTGTGTTTAGTCCGCTTATACAGTGTAGGTGCATTTCCCAAAACACTACTGTACAAACTTGGCTAGATTATCCACTATACTGAATTCTTTTGAATGGAGCTTACATCAATTCATCGATCACTAAGAGGTCAGAAATTTCAAGTTACTTCGCGTTTGTTACCCACTGAGTATGTGCTAAAATATCTTTCGGCAAAAATGATCGAATACCTAGATGGGACATCATTGTTAGTCATAACGAAATCATATTATATTGTGTGGGAGAAGTAATAAATTTTGCAAAGCAAAATCAGCGAAATGTCTCCTACTTGTGTGACGAACGCGGATGTAATGAAAATCAAGATCATGATAGCCATCCAAGGTGGCAGGGCGCATTCCTAGAGCGATGTTCGTGACACTCTTTCCAACCGTCTCGGAGTTTCGTAGCAAAGCAAAGTGGCGAAAAACCGTGCCAGCTGAAATCATCTTACATGCCACTTTCAATACCAATTTTTATTGGCCATTATATTCGTCAAAACTGTGCGCATTTGCCTTTGTGACTAGACTACTCGCAAAAGTATTAAAATCGTGGGGTTTAGAGTTTTTTTTTCGAGAGAATAGCTCTCTGTTTTATACACCTTTCGTTTACCGCACTTCACTTGGCAAACACGCAGCGATCTCTACACTTTCACCCGAATCACTTCTCCCAGAGCGCCGGCCTTCCCCGTTCTCTCAATTCCCATTTCAAAAACATATACTCTTCGGAGTAAGCATTTTAGAAATTTCGGAGAGGAGTGTGTTACCAAAATCCAATAGACGCTATCTTCTCATGATTTTGTTTTGCTTGTCGTAATGTCTTGAATAGACCATATAATTGCTTACGTCTTATTTATTGTCTCTTTTTTCATTACTGTATATGGTGTAAAGTAGAATTACAATGGTACTCAGACACGAGATTTATCGCAATCTTGCCCTGGGATTCGAACCCACGACTGCTGATCCCTGACTCACATACTTTCCACTACACCAGTCGAGAATCCCTATTTTGCCATTGTGTCAGACACGTTGTTTTCAGTTGGACTGGTAATTGCTAATGGCACTGGTAGGACTTGGTGACTAAGAGGAAGGCAAAGCCAAGGTCTTCAGCCGGTTCAATTCATAGCATATGAGCTCTCAAGATAAATAGCCTGTTCGAAACTCACCTACTGTTCCGAGGTTTACTTATATATCAGTATAACCTGTAGTATAAACTCATTAGTTTTGATTACTTTGATATCCGAGGATTTCAAAAATATTCAACATCTCAAATGTAACTGTAAAACGTTTATCTTTTTCTGTATTTGCATGATAATAAGTTCTCAAGACTTCCATTTTAACACTTTTGTCTTTTTTCCCATTGACGTGTGAACTAAAATGCCGCTCTTTGAAATGCCTTTATATTGCAAAAAAAAAGGCTTCACGAAATTTTGAAGAGTGCTGAAACAAAATGCGATATACTTCTATGACCACTAAGCGATTGCGAAGGTCCTTGCGAGTTTGAGTTCAAAGCTTTTTTGAGAACTCAGAAGGTTCCGCATCATTAAGCTGTTTGAGGTGCCCTATCTGGGATTTTTCTTATGTCAATATTTGTATTTCTCTGCTAAACTAACACTGATAACGCCTCATTCGCATTCAGCAGTTTTAGCAGCGTATCGTTCGGGTGCTCAGCTTTTCTGGATTTTTCTCGAATTTGCTACTGGTTCTGGATCCGCAACCGTGCTTGTTTACTCAGTCTCCTATACTCAGCTCATTGCTTGTATGATGACTTATGTAATTAGATAGTATCTCTATTTCCGGTTTTCCATAATGGCTGATGAGAATCTTCCATGTACAGTTTCGGAAAGTGATTGGGTACCTGCTCACGTTGCTTCTAGAGTCTGAGCATTTCCTCTTTATGTTCCCACTTTAAGAGTTTCATAGGTATAGACGAAAATATCATTCAAAGAAGGAAGGCTAACAGCTGAAACGGGCCAGCACTGAGCACCTTCTATTCATTGTTTTCTGTATTGGTTTGTTTTCTTCGTTGATCTTCATCGTAAGCGTCCAAGGACATTTTCCACTAGTCTAGTTTTAAAATGCCATACAACAATGTGATTTGTTCATTCTTCCACCGATCTACTTCGCTGATAATGAGGCCACCGAGGACCGGTCGTAACGAGAACGGTATACAACTTCGGCTTCAGTTCACCACTGCATCTCCGTTAGTACTGAACATATTTGGGCTTGGATTTGTGATTCTGGGATTTAATTCCCTCTATGTTGTCCTTTTGATTGCCAGCGTTGCCCTATAATGTACGGCACGTACACTATTGTGCACTTTGGCGTGGTAATTATGCTCTTCACAAGCCATTTATGAGACCCTTTAGCCCTTTTCAGAATTCCCTTCCATTTTATGAGTCGAACAATAGAACGATAACCTCCAGAAAATCACTTCGCCGCGTTGAACCTGATTATTTATGCTAACTCACTACTGAATTAAATCCTACGTTGTAACTGGACTGGATGTTAGGGGTCGATCTTGTAATTGCTAGATGTAATTGTTAACGTATTGCGACATTAAGACATTTAAAATGCGCATTATTAATGAGACTAGGTACCGTCGTTCTCTCCCAACATTTATATTTTTCCAATATTTCATAATTTTTAATGTAATTAATTATATTATTTAATACATTAAAAAATTTATGAAATATTTGGAAAAAAATATAAAGGTGGGGATGAGAACGACGGTACCTTAGTCTCATTAATAATGCGCATTTTAAATGTCTTAATGTCGCATACGTTAACAATTACATCTAGCAATTACAAGATCGACCCCTAACATCCAGTCCAGTTACAACGTAGGATTTAATTCAGTAGTGAGTTAGCATAAATAATCAGGTTCAACGCGGCGAAGTGATTTTCTGGAGGTTATCGTTCTATTGTTCGACTCATAAAATGGAAGGGAATTCTGAAAAGGGCTTAAAGGGTCTCATAAATGGCTTGTGAAGAGCATAATTACCACGCCAAAGTGCACAATAGTGTACGTGCCGTACATTATAGGGCAACGCTGGCAATCAAAAGGACAACATTAGAGGGAATTAAATCCCAGAATCACAAATCCAAGCCCAAATATGTTCAGTACTAACGGAGATGCAGTGGTGAACTGAAGCCGAAGTTGTATAGCCGTTCTCGTTACGGACCGGTCCTCGGTGGCCTCATTATCAGCGAAGTAGATCGGTGGAAGAATGAACAAATCACATTGTTGTATGGCATTTTAAAACTAGACTAGTGGAAAATGTCCTTGAGACGCTTACGATGAAGATCAACGAAGAAAACAAACCAATACAGAAAACAATGAATAGAAGGTGCTCAGTGCTGGCCCGTTTCAGCTGTTAGCCTTCCTTCTTTGAATGATATTTTCGTCTATACCTATGAAACTCTTAAAGTGGGAACATAAAGAGGAAATGCTCAGACTCTAGAAGCAACGTGAGCAGGTACCAATCACTTTCCGAAACTGTACATGGAAGATTCTCATCAGCCATTATGGAAAACCGGAAATAGAGATACTATCTAATTACATAAGTCATCATACAAGCAATGAGCTGAGTATAGGAGACTGAGTAAACAAGCACGGTTGCGGATCCAGAACCAGTAGCAAATTCGAGAAAAATCCAGAAAAGCTGAGCACCCGAACGATACGCTGCTAAAACTGCTGAATGCGAATGAGGCGTTATCAGTGTTAGTTTAGCAGAGAAATACAAATATTGACATAAGAAAAATCCCAGATAGGGCACCTCAAACAGCTTAATGATGCGGAACCTTCTGAGTGTCTCAAAAAAGCTTTGAACTCAAACTGCGCAAGGACCTTCGCAATCGCTTAGTGGTCATGAAGAAGTATACGCATTTTGTTTCAGCACTCTTCAAAATTTCGTGAAGCCTTTTTTTTTGCAATATAAAGGCATTTCAAAGAGCGGCATTTTAGTTCACACGTCAATGGGAAAAAAGACAAAAGTGTTAAAATGGAAGTCTTGAGAACTTATTATCATGCAAATACAGAAAAAGATAAACGTTTTACAGTTACATTTGAGATGTTGAATATTTTTGAAATCCTCGGATATCAAAGTAATCAAAACTAATGAGTTTAACTACAGGTATATACTGATATATAAGTAAACCTCGGAACAGTAGGGTGAGTTTCGAACAGGCTATTTATCTTGATAGGCTCATATGCTATGAATTGAACGCGGCTGAAGACCTTGGCTTTGCCTTCCTCTTAGTCACGCAAAGTCCTACCAGTGCCATTAGCAATTACCAGTCCAACTGAAAACAACGTGTCTGACACAATGGCAAAATAGGGATTCTCGACTGGTGTAGTGGAAGTATGTGAGTCAGGGATCAGCAGTCGTGGGTTCGAATCCCAGGGCAAGATTGCGATAAATCTCGTGTCTGAGTACCATTGTAATTCTACTTTACGACCATATACAGTAATGAAAAAAGAGACGACAATAAATAAGGA